GCGCCGGGCGGCGGGGCCGCGGTGCGCCGCGGGGTTGCGCGCCGCCGCGGCGGCGACGGCACGACGCGGCGGCGCTGGCGGCGTGGCGGCTGCCGGGGGAGCAGCGGCAGCGGCGGCCATGTTGGTGGCGGTCGCTGTCGGCTGCACGCCAGATAAGCTCGTACGCTACGAGCTGTGGTTTCGTGTATATAAGAAACTTTCCTTTGCTATGCAGCGGTTATGGCACACATGCACGCGTGCGCTCTGGAGAGCGGAGCAACGGAACAATACTGTCAGATCTGCTGAAGCATGGGGCTCAGTGCGATCAACAGCCCCAGCAAAATAATACTCCGATGCCTCGTAGTGAGATCAACAACCCAGCGACGCACATACGCGTTGCAGTACGTGTCACCAGCAGTCACCCGTTCGAGTTTGAAGTGCCCGCTCAACAGCGCACTGTGTTCTGTCTGATCGTGGTCATACATTGCAATCGAAATCCCTCAATGAATAATCGTGGTTGATCCCTTGTGTTTGGAGGTGTAGATCGCACGATTCGCAGGCTTGGAAGACTAGTGGCGAGAGTCCACAGCAAGTAACACACATGGCGGACGCCGAGGTCCTCGCTCTCGTACGGCAGCACAATAAGCCCTTCAACGCAGGTGCGCGACTGGCCGTATGCGCGCCAGGCCGCCCGCAGTGTCAAGACTGCTGAGCGTGCTGCGACGCTGTCCCCCCGCACCGCCGCAGTCGGCGTGGGAGATTATTTGGCAGTCAAAGGAATCAAGAAAACAGCGGTGCAGAAGGCCCTCGACAGCCTGGCGGCAGCCGGCAAACTCACAGCAAAGGTGCTCACAACGGCACGACCACTTTGCCCTGCCACCCCTGCATGCGCACGGGTTTGACGGCGCCGCGGCGGGCGGGCCGCTGCATGTTCTATAGCACGCTGTTGTCATGCATACCTGATGCGTCTCCGCACGCGCATGCACAGCCGCTTGGCTCCTGAGCCCTCATGCACGCTCGCCCCCTCTTACGTCAGTCTGCACTGACCGACTACAGCACGTGTTTCATCCTGCCTCACATCCACACAAACCGACCTCAGGAATTCGGGAAGACCAAGATCTACCTGCCACCCCAGGACGGCTTGGAGGTTCTCAGCAAGGAGGTGGGGGCCAGCGGGGGCGGCGGCGTGACGGGCGGAACCTGCTGCCCGGCGCAGCGTGCACGTGGCGACGCCTGCACGCCCGCACGCGGGGGCGCGCCCGCCCCTGACACCCGCGCAACGCGCAGCGCCGCCTGCACTGCCCGCCGCCCGGCGCTCGACGGTCGCGTGCACACGGGAGGCAAAGGGTGAGCATGGCCTCTCACCCTTTCGCACCGAACCTGGTTTCGTGCCGACCCTTACCTTGACAACTTCGAATCACTGCCTTTTCATATTGCATGCGCTCCATGCAGGAGCTCGATGCCAAGAAAGCTGAGCTGAAGGCGCTGCAGGCTGAGCTGGCAGAGGAGCAGAAGGGGCTGCGGGAGACAGAGGAGGGTGGGTCGCCGGCGCGGGGCCTGCAGCCCGCCGTCCCGCTGGGTCAAGAATATGCCGGCCCATGGGCTGCTGGGACCATAAGGGCGAGAACATTGAGGGCCTGGCAAATTCAGAAGCGAGGCGATAATCATATGTACACTCGGACCGCAGGGGCACTACGACTCCTGCGGCATTGGGTGCTGCTTGCTTGCGCCCTGAGGGCCCGCCTCAAAGCGTGCGTTCCGCGCACCCGTCGCGCCCCCGACCTCAGAGCTGCGGGGCTGGGAGACGAGCCTCACGGCGGAGCAGCTGCGGAAGCAAGTAGAGGAGCTCAAAGCAAAGGTGAGCTTTGCAGGTTGTACACCTTGTCTTCGTACATCTCATATCTTGAAGTAATGTTGCATGCGTTTCTGGAATGTTTGCAAAATGCCGTCCGCTTGCTGCAGTGCTGTTGTACACAACTTTGTGGACAACTGATCAGCAAGGCACGACCGCCAAACCACCCAGCGTTTTGCACAAGCTGATGCTCAGAGCCCCATGGACTTCCTCTGCTTGCAGCCCAGCACTCTGCCATCTGCGGCAGGTAGCTTGCAGCAGCAGTCTTTGATGCTTCGCCACAGATGCACACCACCGACTTGGCGCGCCAGCTGATGCAGACCCTGGACCGAAAGTCTATGCAACACCCTCCCCGTCCTCTGCCTGCAGGCGGCCGCGCAGGCGACCAAGCTCGAGGGGCTCAGCAGCGGCGCGACGCTGGTCACGGCGGACGAGCGGGCGGCGGTGGAGAAGGCGTTTGTTGCGGCCATGGACGCGTGGCGCAAGCGGCGGGGCATCTTCCGGGGCATCTGGTGGGCGGCAATGCATGAGGGGGTGGGCATGATTGCGGGCGCCGCGCTGCATGAGGGGCACAAGGCCTTGCCAGGTTGGGGCTGCCTGCCGAACGGCGTGCAGCCGCCCTGATTGCGCGCTGCAGCCCCCTGCTGCCGGGCGGGGTACGGGCACTGCTGCGCGGCCCGGAGCAACGTGCGGCGCAACCCGCCCGTCCTTGGCGACTGCGCCACGCACCTGGCGTCGATCGCTTTCCATGATTGCTGCAACGCGCGGCGCGGCCACTTTTCCCCAAAGCCAAACCCCGTGAGCCGGGGTTCTGGATGGCTGCAGAAGCGGGCGGCCGCGGGGCGTGTCACAATCCTCATTCTGCTCCTCGTCCTGGCTCCACAGGGACACCATCAGCGAGGGCCTGGAGGGCAAGCAGGCCGACCTCTTTGAGGAGATCGGTGGGTGGCATGGGCGCCGCGTGGGCGTGCCGCCTGCAGGCGTCCTGCTGTGCGGGGGCAGCCTCGGGGTCTGTGGGAGTGCGGCGGGTCGTGAAAAAGGGCCCATGGCGCCGTTTTGTCAGGGGAGGTGTGAGGCGCTCATCGAGGCCAGCGCGCCGGCACAGTGCTTTTTTCACGCACGGCTGCATTCTGACTCGGATCGCACGAAGCGGGCTAGGAGCTTGACACTCTGTGTGTGTGTGTGTGTGGGTGGGTGTGTGTGTGTGCGCGTGCGTGCGTGCGTGTTGTGCTTGTGCATGCAAACCCCGCTCGCTCTGCCATTTAGCCCCCTATGATGTGTCGCCACGGCGCACCGACGCCGCCGGCAACTCGCTGCCACCGGCGGCCGTCGGCTCCCGCGCGCAGGCGTGGACACGGATGAGGCAGCAGGCGTGAGCTTCGGGGAGATCTCGCAGCTGCTGCCCAACCCCAACAAGAGGCGCAAGGTGTGAGGCAGGACGGGCGCTCTCCCGCTGCACCACGGCCCTGCAGCGGCCGCCGGGCGACCCGCATGGCAGTATGGCCAACCATGTTTTGCACAGGGCATGCAAACGGTTTCATGATACCGGTATGTGTATACGATTGTGAATTTAGTGCGACTGCCAGCAAAATGAGTTACAAATGCACACATAGGGTTTGCTGGTACAAACTCTGTGCTGTACGTCTGGGTGACCAGGTGCAAGTCACGTCAGGTGTAATGGCCCTTGATGAAGGGTGCGGTGCCACATCTTGGTGTCGTGCCTCAGGACTGCCACCCACGTGTACAGGACGCATTCAGCGCGCAGGACGGCCTGCCAAGGTGCATTAAGCACGCATACAGTAGCCCCGAGGCCAAGCGTGTGCGCCGCGGGCCCAACCCAACCGAGACCGGGTGCACCAGTCACGGCGCGGGCTCGCAGCCAACCCTCTAGCAAGAGCTTGGGAAGCGCAGCGCGCCGGCGCCTGCCAGCCCTGAGCAGACAGCGTCCTCCTGGCTCAGCTGCATCGTCCGGGCTGGACCCAGCGCTTGACGAACCGTCACGCGCTCAGCAGCCCCCCCCCAACCATTACCACCTGCGTGCGCCTGCTCTCGCCAGCAGGGGCCCGCCTCTCGAGCTTCTTGCCCACCACAGGGTCGCCTGGTACCTATGTGCAGGAAAGGGTTTGCCTTCTTCATCCCCCCTCCACCCCTCGCCTCCCCTGCGGTCCCCGGTCCTCTTGTTCGCAGTCCAATCAGTGTTTCCCCCGGCGTCCCTGTATCGCGCTGTTGTGCAGTCAGGCGGCCTGACGACGACCAAGGACCGACGGTTGCTGCGATCCCGGTCCCCGGATCGCGGCAGCTACAAACAACGCAGCACAGGGGCTTACAGTGTGAGGCCAGCGTCGGCCCGAAATGGGCCTGCATTCAGGAAGGCGTACAATTTCCACACGTGCACAACCCACAATTACCCACAGGGCCCGCCGGCAAGCCGGCGTGCCCATGCAGCGAGGTGTGTAAGGAAGGGGGCCAACGAAACCGTCATGCTGTGTTGTGTGTCCGACGCATGCTCGGGCGGCCTGTGTGGCCTCACAAAGCGCGCATTCCTGGCCACGCCGTGAAAACAACGCCAAGTGCGCACGGGGGTAGCCCCAAGCACGGCGCAGCTGGGCGTGCCCTGCATTCGAATTTGAGGCGGCTGGTTTGCTGCTCTCCATTGCAATCAAGGAAGTGAGGCAAGCCAGGCATCTCCTTTTGACTGGTGAAACCAGCGACAGTGCAACGGATGGCGGAGCCGCCACGGGTCTGCACATGCTTGATGAGTGCCGCGAGACGCGCCCCCACGGTGGACGCGAAATGGGGGAAGACCCGGGCGCGGCAGCCAGGGACGAGGGGCGTGTGCAGGAGCGCTGCTTTGATGGACTGGGTCCGGCAATAAACGTGCAAAGTTTAGGGTAGACCCCTACACGTTCTTTAGGGTTTGGGCCTCCACATTGCTACGCCTGCCGCTCGTGCCGCGCCATAAGGCGGCACTAACGCGCTGCAGCGCACCAGCGCTCCCCCGCTCCCCTTGGGTGGGAAGGGAGGGGGAAAGTGACGGGCAGTCCTAGAGTCCTGTGAGATCTGAGATCTGAGATTCGGAGTCAATGAACGAGCTGTAGGTCGCTCGGGGTGCTACGTACTGACCACAAGCGGCCGTCCTACCGCCCAAGGGATGCACAAGAGCATGGGTCAATCATTTGCCCGATTAAGGGGGCCGTGTGCTGCGCGTTCGTTGTGGGTGCGAGCAGCGTGCATTGTCGTGTGTGCGCAGAATGGCTCTGCCAGGTAGGCCGATCTCAAACCCTTGCATCTGCCTAGAAAACGGACGACCCGGCAAGGGTGGGGCCGCAACAGGAAACACCCAGGCTGGGGCAGAGGCCGGCGCCTGCGCCACCCGTGGTCAAACAGGGCCCCAGCGGGCTGCGCCGCCGGCCTTCCTGCGGGCTCAAGCCAATGGCCGCGCGGCCGCCAGGCGGGCGGCGCGAGACACCGCGGCGCTCAACCCGAGGCTGGACGCCACTCACAGGCGCCAGGGCGCGGACGCGCGCGAAGCCCGCGCGGCGGCCGGGCGGCGGGCCCGCCTGCGCGCGCCGCGGGCCGCGGGCCGCGGCCGGCGGGGGG